CATAGAACTCCGGTATGAAGTGAAGAGCCAATCAATGTCACCAACCTCGTGATCTTAGAAACTGCCACAGCCACCCATCTTCAGCAGTCACCATTCTTTATCAACAGGCAGCCGTCAAAATCCGGGCAACACAACCCATCATCAAAAAAGATTAGTACTCACCAAAGCCCAAATGATCACCAGCATTTTTTATTCCTTTTTTTAAGCAAGTAGGTATATATTTTTCAGTTCTACCAGTGATCATTTTTAATTATTAGTTGTACTACTTTGCTATTTGTTGCTATGATAAAACACTGACCAAAAGCAACTTGGAGAAGGAAAGGATTTATTGCTTTACAGGTTACAATCCATCAATGGGTGACAAGGCAGGAACTGAACACAGAGACCATGGAGAAACAGCTTTTCCAGCTTGCTCAGCTACTTAAACAGCCTAGGCCCACCAGCCTAGGCATGAAATTGCCCACAGTGGACTGGAGCCCCTACATTACATAATTAAGAAAATCTCCCCTCTCCCAAGACGCACACGCCAATCAGATGGAGATGATTCCTCAGTTCACAGGTGTCTCTGGTTTGCATCAAGTACACTAATCAGCACATTAGTGTACATTCACTGTAAAAAAGTTCACTGTAAAATCTTCATACACAACTATGAATGTGTTTTGGTGACATTTAACTTCCATCCCCATCTCTTTGCCCCTCTCTCCCAGTTTCCTTACCTCTCCACATATACTTTCATGTCATTTTAAATACCAGATTCTGCATATGAATAAAGACACATTTCTTTCTAAATCTGGCTTAGCATATCTCCAGTTCTATCCATTTTCTTGCAAATGACAAAATTTTTGTTTTGAGAAACAGAATTGTTCTTTTTTACTGAAAAAAAAAAAAAAACCACAATTATGTATATGCCAGGTTACTTTATCCACTCATCTGTCTGTAGGCATCTAGGCTAGTTCCCTAATGTGGCTATTGTGAATACTGTTCCAATAAACAAGGGTGTGCAGGTGTCTTGGAGATCTTAGATTCCTCAAGCAATTGGTTACATTAATGGGGTAAGTTTCTCTGGAAGGAGAAATAACAAGGGTAAAGATGGCCACCCACCTTTAATCATTAGAATATCAAGAATATTTTCAACAACTCTCTAAAGGGAAGACTGTACCTCCTGCAAGAGGTCAATAAGGACCTGACACATCTTAGACTAAGAAACAGCCCACCTACTCTGGTTCCCAGTTCTCCAAAAAGGCTAAGGTTTGATCCTCAGATTAGCAGGTCCAGTCATCTCTTACATTTCACTATATTAATGGCACACTTATAATCAGAAGTCAATACTCAGATTCCATTCTACATATGTATATTCTTTGTACTAAGTGTACAAGTCTCGGTTCCCCTTCCTGTAGCAGGCTTCACTTATGCTTTGAAATGCCAACTTTAGGGCTAAAGAGAAGGCTCAGAGACTAAGAGTGTATACTGCTCTTCCAGTTCAATTCCCAGCACCCATGCCAGGCCTGCTGCCTATAACTCTAGCTCCAAGGGATTATTGCCTGTAGCCTCTAAGAGCACCTGCACACAATTGCACATATTCACACATATAATCAACTTAAAAATTTTTAAATAGAACTACCATTTTAGCAGGCAGTTCTCTACCTTCCAAGCAATCTCATTGTAACTATTTCTAAATTTCTAATCTACCAGGAATTAGAAAATGCCTTGGGTTTTGACTGGTTTTCTTAACTTAGTCCTTCAGATTACCTGACTTTTTAGAAGCTGTTTCTTTTTTAAGATAAGGAGCTGAAGGGCTGGAAAGATGTCTGAGCAGTTCAGAGCACATACTGCTCTTACAGAGGATCAGTTTGATTCCCATCACCCATACTGCATGGCTCAATCACTAGGTAACATCAGCTACAGGGAGATCCATGCCTCTGACTTTAGCAGGCACCTTCACTAATGTATGCACGGGAGAACATACACACATTTAAAAATTAAATCTTTTTTTTTCCCCCCCAAATAAGGAGTTGCTTAAAATCTACAGATTCAGTAGGGGCCATCAAGGGAGACTCACAGCCAGAGATAGATTCACAGAAATCTGAAACAATATTAAATTGTAACCATCAAACGTTAACCAGTGACATAACCACATTCAAAGATAGTGACTTCTGTGGAGAAACTAACTGGCAATGTTCTCACAGGCTCTCTTTTTCCTTCATTCCTTTGCTAGGTACATACTAGACAAACACAGGACTTCAGACTAAAATAGCCTTAAGTATGAAGTCTAGTTCTAATGCAATTGTAGTGCTTGGTCTGTTTCAGTGTCTATGTCTTGCTAATAGTAGCAATAACTTTATGTGTTAGAGAGTATCCATGGTATTTTGTTTAGTTACACAACACTAGTTATCAATATTGTGTAATATTAGAAAACCAGAGAAAACCACTGTAGAACTGCATGTAGGTGCAGGGCCATTTGCTGGTAAGTCACTGGGGAAGAGGTAACAATTTCTGCTTCCTCCATCCCCTGTGTTTCCACACCACCTGTCTCTGCAACCTACCCAGGAGAAGCAATCCTGCTTTTCAAAGATGCTCTTTTAGGTGTCTTTTTGGCTCTCAGTTCAAACGTCACCTACTGAGAGGCCTTTCTTAGGTTCTACCTCAATACTTCTAAGAGATCTCTCTAGGACCGGGCGGTGGTGGTGCACACCTTTAATCCCAGCACTTGGGAGGCAGAGCCAGGCGGATCTCTGCGGCCCGCTTGGTTTACAGAGTGAGATCCAGGAAAGGTGCAAAGCTACACAGAGAAACCCTGTCTCAACCCCCCCCCCCCCACCCAAAAAAAGAGAGCTTTCTATGGGTCTCAAACTCCCACAAGAGGAAGTGATTATGATTACGAATTAACTTGTCTATCTCCACTAATTGGACTATAAAGTCCATTAAGGAGCTTAGTGGTCCAGCTCAGTTGTATTTCTGAGCCTAGAATAGTAATTTTTTTTTTCTTCAAAAGTAGATTTTCTGTAATTGGGGAGACAGGGATGATGGATGGAAAAGGTTATTAAGTTCCAGGTTCTTGATGAAGATCTGCATCTGTTCATATCTGGCTAGTTTTTGCCTCCACAGAAAGCAACTGTCCACTTATGGTCTCTTTCAACAAGCAGGCTCATCTTCTCTAAAGCCGATCCCTTCAATAGCTCCCTCCTTGTAATCAATTGCGAGGCCCTACTTGATAGGCATCTCCCTTTTCTCTCTCTCTGTCACCCACAGCAGTACCTGTTCACTACCCTTTTCTTTTTCTTTGAACACGGCCAGAATCCTCAGGACATTTGCTCTGGGTGGTTCCTTTTTCCTGAAATGCCTTTCTCCTTATACCTAATTGGCTAAAGCCGGGCAGCAGTGATAACACGCCCTTAATCCCAGCACTAGGAAGGCAGAGCCTGGTGGATCTCTGTGAGTTCAAGGCCAGCCTGGGCTACAGAGCAAGATCCAGGATGGGCACCAAAACTACACAGAGAAACTCTGTCTCGAAAAACCAAATATATATACACACACACACATATATAGTTAATCAAACTAGGGAGATAAAGTATACTTTTTATACTGGAAAACTGGACTTGAAATCTTATGCTGCCATTTATTTCAGTTTTGTGAAACTGCAGGAGACTTAATTTCATCCACAAATCCAGTTTAGCAGTAACTTCACCTTGAACAGTTTTAGTACATTAAATATGGCCATGTTATTAGGCCCCAAGCAGATTATTTTGGCATAATATTCCTAGGAAATTTTATATAGAGTTGGGCCAAGTGTTTTAAACCTGGGATCCCAGTTACTTGGGAAGCTGAGGCAGGACAATCATGAGTTCCAGGGTGGCCTGGGTAACACAATGAAACATTGTCTCAGGAAGCTTTGCCTTGGACAACCGTTACTAGATTAAGCCAGGCAGTAAATCTAGGAGTTATCAAGATGAAGGTGATAGAAAACTCCATGCTGGTTTTCCTTCCTACATGACTTTCATGTGATAGAAGTACTTTAAATCACTTAGGAAAATTAACTAAAGTCCCCCTTGTAAAATGCTACCATTCTTTTCAAAATATCATCAGTGGTCTGTTCATGAGACACTGGCTTGGCCCAGGTTCTAAGCCACTGGGGAACTTTCTCAGCTTTTAGAGACCTCTAATGTTTACTTCTTTCTAAAACTAGCAAGATATATACTACAGTCCAACAACCCTTTAAATTTCAGAATCTAAGACTAAAGTATCACCTTAAAGTAAGACCAGTAATTAGTAACCCTTTGAGAAAAATTTATACCACAATTCTCCATGTTTTTATACCAAAGACTAATTTGGTTATTTCAAATGGTTCAAGTTTTCCAAATATTTTTTTTATTTTTGTTTAGAAATTTAAGCTAAAAAAAAAAAAAAAAAAAAAAAAAAAAAAAAAAAAAAAAAAAAAAAACCTTACTCATAGATTTATCGTAATTCTGGCATAGGTTATTTTTAGAGATTGCTATGGTACACCCTGTAGAAGGAAAAAAAGGAAGTTTGGCTCCCTATAGCCCCCATAACTTTTATAAGTTTATAAAAGTTTTTAAGCTTATGCTAAGGATTAGAATTAAATCATGAAATCCCATTCTGAATTTGGAAAAAGTAATCAGAAGCCTAGTAAACCCTAATTCTAAGACAGAAGACACCCAACATTTCAGCACAGAGAAAGGAGAGCCGTCAGGACCCACCTCACTACTCAAGCAGTGCCCAGCACTTTACCCTGCGGACATGGAAGTGGGTGGACAACAAAGCAATGTTCTTTCAAGGGTCAAGCTCAAATGACGCTGAAGACCATCTACTAATTCGTAGCCGCTCAAAGTAAAATTTCCTAAATAATGTCACAATAATAGTGTTTTGCACAAATTTACAGACTACGGGCTTTTTAAAAATTTTTGTTCCTTATCTAAGATTTGCAAGTGCTGACCCAAAACTGTATTACCAGTCATTTATTCTTAAGTGAAAAGGAGACAAAGCATGGTCAAGACTGCTTTATTGGTGGCAGTTAGTACACATCAATAAATATTGATCCCCAAAGAAGAGCTCAGTTACTCATCAGATTCCTGGTCCATCAAGCGCTGAATGAAACTGAACCATGTGAAGACTGGGATGATGAAGTCAGTTCTGCTTCTTGGGAAATGCAGCCACAACTAACATGTAGATGGCATACGCTGTTCCTGAGAAACACACAAAAGCTTAGGAGGGGTTCTGAGATTTCAGTACATACACTTAATATTTCAGCTCCAATGTTAAGGGCAAAATGGATGTTAAGACAAGCTTAATGGCTAGGCATACTGCTCAGAGGTAAGGTGTTTCCTTCTAGTGCTTAAGCTCCTGGGTTTGATTTCTAGTGAGAACACACACACATACACAACCCTCAATCAAACATAAAAGTATTTTGATAGATGTTGAAATTTTTTAAAAAATTAATCTAGTTTCATCGTTACTTCATTTCTATGTTTAAAGGGTAGATATGTCACAATATCTTTCAACATAATGAATGGAAACATTTTTTAAAGCCCCTAGTACTGGAGGCAGGGTAGTGTGAATGTTTTGGGGGGGCCCTGTTTGAGAACTACTAGTAACACACACAGAAAGCTACCTCTATCAGGGTAACCACAAACCTGCCGAGTCAGACCTCTTCTGATGGTTAAAATGCTCTTGGGTAGTTAGTATATTCTAACTGCCCTCTTGACTGCTTCTCTGGGGTGCAGTGAGACAGACTGCCTGCAATAAACACTGCCCCAGCAAAAGCAAGGAAGCTGCCGCTGCTGCCCTTGTCCTGTAAACACTCAAACAATGTCTTACCACCAACTGTCAGACCCATTGTGAGTCTGTAGAGGAGGGCATCAGATGCTCCGCCCTTCAGATGCACTGGCACTCCATTATCCTCCTAGGTCAAAAAAAAAAAAAAGGCATTGATACACGTGTCACTTGTCCAGTTAAGAATCAGAATATTAATTACTCATATAAAATTCAACAGCTCCTGACACCCCGAGAATTTAAATAATTTCAGAGGCTTACAATTTTTATGCTTTCCCTACTACTTTGAAATGACAAACAGTAGAACACAGTATCCTTTTCAGGCTAAGTAAAACCCAGTGAGTTCTTCGTAAGGACTATACAAACTTCAAAGCAGGAAAATACACTCCTTGAATCCCACAACGTAAATATAAGATAACAACCTGTTGATCATCAGGAAGACTTTTTTTTCTCCCCTTTTATGACTTTTTTTCTCCCCTTATAAAAGGGGGCAAGGGGCTCTGGCTTGTAACACTAGTCCAGCATCTTTTATATCCACTTAAGAATTTTATTTTTATGAAACATACCTAATACTTTTACTACTTAAACTTTTACTTAGGAAAAAAATTACAAATCACAATAAAACAAAAATTATTCACAAACTAATTACTTAAAGATTAAATGCTCTCTATTCCATTGGGCCTTTCCCCAAGGCATACCAACCATTAACAGTATGGTATACATCACTATTTTTAATGTTTATATTTATCAATTCTTCTAAGTTATATGTACTTAATATTCAAAATGGCATTATGCTATGTAATGTTATACACTATTTTCAAAAACAGTTTCTCAGTCCATTTAAGTCTCTTTTAAATGGCTATATAATATTCTACCAGCTGAAAAATGTCTTAACTGAATCAGCCAATCCTTTCGTAATTTCTAGGTTGAGTTCCTTAAAATCTTTTATCTATTTGCTTATACATATGCACGTATTCTAAAGTGTCTTAAAGAGGGCTTCTTAGATGACAGGGTATGTGATTAGTTTATAATATTTCAACTACCAGCTAAACTTCTGTCCCTAACATACTACTGCTTATCTGGTATGAACATCCTGTGCATGGTACTATCTTTCTCCCATATCTGGTAAACATAATCTATTTTAAATCTTTCTGTTTAGATTGCAGGGAATAGGGTTGCCACTCATTATCTGCTTTAAGAAGACTAGGTTCTAAAAGCTGACAAAGAAGCTATAGCTCTTCACTTCTAAGAAGAGTTAAAGCCGGGCGGTGGTGGTGCACGCCTTTAATCCCAGAACTCAGGAGGCAGAGCCAGGTGGATCTCTGTGAGTTCAAGGCCAGCCTGGTCTACAGAGCGAGATCCAGAAAAGGCACCAAAACTACACAGAGAAACCCTGCCTCGGAACCAAAAAAAAAAAAAAAAAAACCAAAAACAAAAACAAAAAAACAGTTAAAGTCAGGGTAATGTAGCCTTAAATCTATAAAACTGAGAAGACAATGACAGGGTTATGACCATTTCTTGGTGATAGTCATATGGCCAAGCTGGTGTATAAGTCTGTTTCCAGAAAGGGGCTGGGGCTGGAAGAACAGTGTTGGCAGCCTTCACGGCTTTGAAGGAACCACCACATGGCAATACTTCTGCTCTACCGGCAGATAGGGGCCAGCAGTGGTCCTCTATCTAGATCTCCAGAAGTCATGTTCTGGCTCCATCAAGAGGCAGAGTCCAAACCTCCACAGTCTCCCAGTCCACTAGCTAGAATGTATTTAGGGCAAAGGGAGCTAAATAGAAGGTTAACAGTCAAGAGCACAATGCCTGCCACATTCCACAGGAATCTTCCTTGCCCCAACAGTTGTGGTGAACTTAATCTGCATTTCTTACAGACCTGTAGTTTTTTTTTTTTTAATATCAGTGATATACTTTGAAAAACTGCTCATCCATTCCTTCTCTTTACATCAACAAACTGTCTATTTTTAGGCCTTGATTTCTCTCCGGTCTTTTGAAGTTTCCTGAGAACTCTCCCCCACCTAAGACTGTTTACTACACTCTTCCCTGCAGTATGCTGTCCTAAAACATCTACTGAATCCCTACACTATTTATTTTTTGTTTCTGAGCCTTTTCTTATTTCCCTACTCCTATGCAATTATTTCCCAAAGAATGCCAATTCATCATAAATCCTCCCCCACCCCAGCACACACAAATTCATTGACCTATGCATTTTTCCCGCCTCCCCAGGCACTTCTAGGATACAGCAAATAGTTACCAAGAGAGTCCCGTATGTTCAAGCTAATACAAAAGAGGCTCCAAGAAGCAGACCTCTGGGTTTACTCCCTTCTGGGCTCTATTACAAATAATGATCACCTCAAACATTTTAGTACCTGAAACAGCTTTTGTTTCTCTGGAACTTTGTTTTCAAAATGCCTTCGTGAAGTAGTGCTGATGGTCCTCTGGGCAATCTGACGGAGGGCCTGAAACAGTAAATCCACATCCAGTAAACAGGACTTAGAGCCTAAAGAAACCTCCAAAGGCAACTTCCGATCCTTCACATTGTGAAAGGAAACTGAGCTTTAAACTTGTCAGTAACAGAAGTCCAGGACCAACATCCAGGCTTTCCAGATGTTGTCTATCCTCTGCTCTGTGCTTCCCACTATATAATCTGCAGTCCCCAGAAGCCATCACCTATATAACCTGTGCCTGAAGTCAATCAGCAGTATTTTGTTTTTGTTGAACAAAGCACAATGATATACAGAAGAAAAAAAATAGACTACGTTCAAACATTTTCATTTAGAATTCACCTACATTAAAAATCTATTTATTACTTGACTGAAAAATAAACCAGCAAGATTTTTTTTTTTTTTTTTTTTTTTTGGCTACCAGAAAGATTCTTACTCAAAATTATTTTGCAGAGGAGGGCACATGCTAGGCAAGCACCCTACCAGCTACACTCCTACATCTAAGAAAACTGTAATGGGGTGTAAGTCTTGCTTAAAGACCTACAACGCACACTTATTTGAATCAGTAAACATGCACTTTAATAACTTATCAATACCACTTTCTAAATGGTACTGGTAAGTTATTAAAACTGTTAAAAACTTACAAAAAGAGAATCAAATCACATCTTTTTAAATTCTGGAAAAATACTTCAGAAGCTCAGAGGTGTTCAAAGGCAATTCAGAATCACCATTACACTTCAGCTGTGGATACCCATTAAATCCCAACCAAAAATTGAATAATTTAGTTCTTTAGCTTACTTCTGATGCAGGTAAGAACCATGTAAATTTATATCCTTTCACTATAATACAGGGTTTGGGGATTTAGCTCAGTGGTAGAGCGCTTGCCTAGCAAGCGCAAGGCCCTGGTTCGGTCCTCAGCTCAAAAAA